CTTACACTGGAAAGTTAAGAAACATCGAGACTCTGGCCGAAAACTGAAGTTTTCTTAAGCATCGCCTAGGGTGTATTGCAAGATCCTGCAGGATCCTGCGAGTCGGGAGCGGCCAAGAGGGGGGTGTGCAAATCATGACCGGCGGCATGTGCGCGGCCCAGCGGGGGGGCCAGGGGCGCAATGAAACAAGAAGAGGCGCCATGAGATCTGGGGAAATATCATGGCCCGCACCATGAAATCCACCCCCCCCTAGTCATCACCCCCCTCTTTTCCGCCCCCGAGCGAGCTGGCCCAGGTCCATGCGCCCCGGGCTCTGCAGGATCCTGCGGGATCCGGCGCTCGGGGGCCCCCGCCCCAGGACAGGAGGAGGCCGCGCCTGGACGGCGCATCGTGAAGGGGCCCCAGGACACAAAGATAAGTACACACAAATAGAAGTGTTGCCCATAGTTTCCCATATTTTCTGGGCTTCTGTCTTCCCCCCCACTCCCCATATCTTCCTACATTTTCAAGGGGATCGAGGATTCATTGTGTCTGTGTGTTTTTTCCTCTCCTGAAGGAAGAAGCCGCGCTTGGACGGCGCATCGGCAGAGCATGACAAGCCAGAAACGGCCAGAACACAGTCATGCGAAGACACTTCCGAGCGGAATGCAAGGGGCACCCGAACGTATCCACTGCATCCACTGCATTATTTCAGTGGTGGGCGGCAGTGGGAATGACACCAGCAGGGCGGCATGCAAGAGAGAGAGAGGGGGGAGAGGGAGGAGGGGGGAGGGAGGGAGAAAGGTAGAGGGGAGAACGACTGAGAACAAGACGGGGGCTCACGGGACGGGGGTCCCGTGAGCCCCGAATTCAGCTCGCCAGTCGATGCCCAGCCGGCCCTCCCAAAGTGTTTTCATGGGGGATGCTTAACCTAGACGTCCCTACTCCCTGCTCCTCGTTCTCCTCCTCTTCCTCCTCCTCCTGCTCCCGCATCCGCCTCCTGCTCTTTCTCCTCCTCCTTCTCCTCCTCCTCCTCCTCCTCCTCCTCCTCCTCCTCCCTAGACGTCCGTCGCTCCAAAGTCTTCGATGCGAGGGCCCCCGAAGGCCTGGACCACTTCCCGAGGGATGGCCCTTCGTCCTGCGTCGTCCCGTTGACGTTCCTGGGGCCCGGCGAGGGCCTCCAGACGCTGAAGATCGTCCCAATCCTTGGACGCGAACTAAGAGGGGCGATCATGGAGGGGCCCAGGGACACACGCAAAAAAAACAAATCCCAAGACTCCCAGTATTCCCGAATCAGAGCTTGCCTCTGTAGGGGTCCTAGCGGATTCATATGGTTAGGTGAGGTGTGTCACCGATTTCCGCGGCCCGCCCAGGTGCCCGGGTGCCCGGATGCCTTATAGCCCTATCGCCCTAGAGAGCCTTATAGCCCTATCGCCCTGGAGCCCTATAGCTCTATAGCCTCATAGCCCTATGGCCCTGTAGACCTATAGCCAAATAGCCCCATAGCCCTATAGCCCAACAACCCTGTAGCCCTATAGCCCTATTAACCCCATAGCCCTATAGCCTAACAGCCCTGTAGCCCAATAGCCCTATAGCCCTACAGCCCAATAGCCCTAGAGCCCTATAGCGCTCCATCCCTGTAGCCCTACAGCCATATAGCCTCATAGCCCTATACACCTATAGACCTATAGCCCCATGGTCCTATAGCCCCATCGCCCTATTTAGAACGAATGTGCGCGGCGCTGAGGCGAGAGCCACATTTTGAAAACTCCCGCCCTCCATATGTGAGCTTGGGAATCATAAGTGGTGAGGACGTCTCAGGCGAAACGCCCGGCCCGCCCAAAAAGCTGGCCTCGGGGTGCGACAGAGCTTGCCTCTGTAGGGGTCGGAACGGATTCATATGGTTAGGTGAGGTTGCCACCGATTTCCGCGGCCCGCCAGGGCGCCCGGGTGCCCCATAGCCCTGTAGCCCTATAGCTCTATAGCCATATAGCCCTAATCGCCCTACAGCCCTAGAGCCCATATAGCCTTAGAGCCCTACAGCCCAATAGCCCTATCGCACTATAGAGCCTTACAGCTTCATGGCCCTATGGCCATATCGCCCTAGAGCCCCATAGTTCTATAACCCTGAAGCCCTATAGAACTGTAGCCCCATAGCCCTATAGCCCAATAGCCCTATAGCCCCATAGGCCTATAGCTCAATATGTCTATCATAGGGGCAGAGGCGTGCGCGCTGATGGCCAAGGTGGTGCCGGCCCGAGGGAGGAGGACAAGATGAGGGGGGGAGGTGCCGCCAACGCGGCGCCCCGGTCCTCCTCCTCCTCCTCCCTCTCCTCCTCCTCCTCCTCCTCCTCCTCCCTCTCCTCCTCCTCCTCCTCCTCCTCCTCCTCCTCCTCCTCCTCCTCCTCCTCCTCCTCGACCATCCGAACCCCCGAACGGCGCGAGGGGGGGAAGTGCCGCCAGCGCGGCGCCCCCAGGGGCTGTCGCCGCGGCCACCGTGGCCTGCGGCGACGGCGACGACAGCGGAGGTGGTGAGTGCCGCAGTGGTCAACACCGAGGGCGCGGAGTGCGCAGCAGCGAGGACGCCCTGGTGAGGCTTGGCGCAAACTTCGAGACGGGCTCGAAGGGTAAGGGGGTAGGACGAGTACTGCCCGCGCCGGCCAGGGGGGATGGTGAGGGGCAGGGGGCGGGTGGGACGGCCACCACCCGCGCCCCCGCGGTCCGCCCTAGCTCGCCACCCCCACCATCCCCGTGGCGAGGGACGAGCTCACCCGTACGCCGTCGTGGCGGAGCACAGGGCAGTGGAGGAGCTGGAGGCGGCCTGGCTCGGGTCAGACCGCCTGGGCCAGACGAGAGGGGGGGAGGTGCCGCCAGTGCGGCGCCCCCTGAGGCCTCCACCGCGGCGACGGTGGCCTGCGGTGGGGGCGAGGACTGCGACGACGGCAACGGCGCTGCCTGCCGCGCGAGGAGGTCGAGGCGAGGGGGAGAAGTGCCGCCAATTTGGACGCCCGAAATGGGTACCGAAAAAATGGGTACTATGCCCAACAGCAAATGTTGTCCCAAACCAACAGCGGCCGCTGTTGGGCGGGCGGCCTCCTGTCTCGAATGGACACAAGCCGCGGCGGCGTGGACAGCGGATCTTTTTCAAAATGAACAGGAACTGCTGTTGGGCATAGTACCCATTCTTTCAGTACCCATTTCGGGCGTCCAGAAATGCGGCGCCCCCAAGGGCCACCGCCCCGGCCACCGCGGCCTGCGGCGGGGGCGACCAGCTCTCCCCGCGGAGGTCACGCCCTCCTGCACGGCAGCCTGGCCGGTCCGTCCGCGGCCCCGCGCGCGGAGGTGGCGCGCCCCCCCCCCGCCCGGTTGCCGGCTCGAGCCCGAGGCCGGCGGGCGGGCGCCGCCGCGCCCCTCGCGGCGCGCCCATCCACCATGGAGGGTTGCGCCCGCCGCCCACGCGCTGCACCATCCCCACGGTGGAGGGGGAGCTCGCACACGCTGCCGCCCGGCGGTGAGCGGAGCCGCAGCGGTGCGAGGTGGGGAAGTGCCGCCAGTGCGGCGCCCCCCGGGGGCTGCTGCCGCGGCCACGCTGGCCTGCGGCGGCAGCGAGGAGGGCGGCGGCTGGGGCAAGGACGCCATCGGCAGCAAGGCCGCCTTCCTGCTGGCGGCCTGCCGCGCGGGCGCGGTGCGTGCGGAGGGCGGGGACGGCGGGCCAGGACGGCCCAGCAGCCCTCCCCGCCCTGCTGGATCCGCCTCGGAGTCCGTTCGTGGGGGCCCTGGGGCGGCCCCTGTCCGTTCTCCTGGGATGTCGCGGTCGCCTGGCCCTCGGGCCTGAGCGGCTGGGCTGCCCGCTCGGACACTACGCGTATTGTCTGGGTGATCGTCCCGCGGCTTCGGGGCCCTCCCGCGTAGACTGTCGCCTGTCCCCTGGGGTGGTGGCGCGGGCGGGGGCGGGTGCGGGCCGACGCGCCTCTCCGACTCGCCGCCCTCCTCCTCCTCCTCCTCCTCCTCCTCCTCCTCCTCCTCCTCGAGCCGTTTTTGGGATAACGGGCGTGATCGGGGGAGGAGCGGGAGGGGAAATTTCGCCCCCCCCCCCGATCACATCACGGAGGGGATCCGCCGGAAATCTGAGAAAATCCTGGAAGAATCCGTAGGACATCTTTGCAGCTGTGGGTAGGGAGGGGGAGAGAGGCCGTTGTCGCCGTTCTCCTCCTCCCCCTCAGCCTCCTTTCACCGTCGTCCTGCCTTCACCCCCCTTCCCGACACCTTACACTCTCTTTCCCCAGTCCAAGAGGACAAGCAGGAGTAGGACTTCTCAATCAAGATGAATAATGGTGAGGAAGAGCTGCTTTCGAACATGAGGATCAAGGGGTTGCGAAGAAGCGGGAGGGCAAGCATGATGAGGAAAAGAGGACGGGACGACGAATAATTGTACTATGAGGAAGGAAGAAGTGGAGGAGGAAAAGAACCGAGTTGTGAAGGAGAAAAAATAGAGGACTAGAACATTCATTACGCTGGGTGCGCAATACAAGCTATAACTAATTGTACGGATAGGGGTAGATCGTGGGGTTATGCATCGGTGCCGGTATCGTTATAAAAATTTACACAACTACTGCGACTTGTAGTCGGAAGCCGAACGCTATTTGGTTTCGTCATTGTCTGCCTCGCGATCGTCTTGCACCTCCTTATGCTGCTTATCTTGTAGCGTGATTGCATCACGCGCAGGGTCGATGGGTGCTGGGAGGGATGCGAACCTCTACCTGCGCGTGAACGCATACACGTACATGAAATCTGCACGTTGCACGTAACATCGTGTACATCTAAACTGAGACACTGGTGCTACAACATGACGGAAACGACATATGTTCCCGGTAGTGTGCTCATGGAGTTTTTGAATGGCACAAGGACGTGCTATCAATCAGTGGCTAGACTGGTCGACAAAAGGGGAAACTCATGATCGGCACAGCGCTACAAACTAGCGAATGCACCAACACACAATTCTACTATCCCTCCCTGCGCACCTGCACTGGGAATCTCTGACGAAATCGTCGCGGTTCAATAAGGCCTTGCTCCAGTTAAACCACGCGCCCTGATCGAGCCAGCCCTTGTCGCCGTCAGACGAGTAAATCAGAGGCCTTGGGTGAAGATAACAGGGACATCGGCCGCAAGGAATGCAAAGGTAGCCCAAACGGCAAGTCCAAGAAGGGGAGGCCACAGAGTGGAGGCATCAGACATGTCTCTCTCAAGACCCTACGTTCTCCTCCTCCTCCTCCTCCTCATCCTCCTCCTCCTCCTCCTCCTCCTCCTCCCCCTCCTTCTCCTCCCCCTCCTTCTCATCCTCCTCCTCCTCCTACTCCTCGTCCTCCTCCTCCTACTCCTGCTCCTCCCCGGGCACGGGCGTAATTTCCCGAAGCTGGCTTTGCTCGCAAGGACGAGGGCGGGGACCACGAGGGTCTTTGGGACCCTCTGCGGCCCCGGATCTGGTGAAATCGGCAGCGCGGCCACGGCATCCGCTGTGTGCTCCCAGTGAAACGAGATTCCGGCCAGCACCCTTATAAATGCCTTACTGCCTCGCCGATACGGTTTCCCGACGGTAAGAGCAGGTTTTCTTTCACGAAGCGATAACTGGCGTGATCGGGGGTGGGCAGCGTATTGATCACGTCACGGCCGGGGTGCGCCCAAAAACATAGCAGCGGCTGTCATAGGAGTGGTAGCAGGAGTAAGATCACTGCACCGACCTTGCAGACGTGCTGCAGCGGATTTTTGTTTTGCGTGGATTTCTGTCAATGCAAGACCCGAAACACCGAGTGAAAAACAAATTGAATTTCGCGTGGATCTGTTAGTCTTCATTCCTGGCAAAAGAAAGTCCGCACGAAATTCACTGAGAAATCCGAAACGCAATTCTCCAAGACACTCCAGGCTCATCCTATTGTTCTCCAACGACATCCGCTCTGCGGTGTTGGCGCAATGAGAAGTCGTTGAAGTATAACAGTAATTGCAATGGTATACTAGGAATCCCACCAGCCCTCTGGGCGTCGGTGGATTAGAGCGGTTCCTCTTCCACCCCTCCCTCTTCCCCTTCGGGGAGGGGTTTACCCCTCCCCCTCCCCCCTCCCCGCTGGCCTGGACAGGAGGGGCGGGGAGCGGTCAGAGCGTCCAAAACGGCCTCGCCGAGGAAGCCAAAATCATTGATTTTACTATGGTTTTGGCCCCATTTTGGCCTTCTGAGGGGGCAGGGCTAATTAAAGCTCCCCTCTTCTTTGAAGCCAAAATCATTGATTTTACTGAGGTTTTGGCCCCATGTTGGCCTTCTGAGGGGGCAGCGCTAATTAAAGCTCCCCTCTTCTTTGAAGCCAGAATCTTTAACTAAAGGTTTTGGCGCCATTTTGGCCTTCTGAGGGGACAGCGCTAATTAAAGCTCCCCTCTTCTTTGATCGATTTCCTCCAAGATGGCCCCAAGAAGCGCCCAGGAGGCATCAAGAGGCCCCAAGATGGCCCCAAGATGGCCCCAAGAGGCCCCCAGGAGGCCCCCAAGAGGATCCCAAACGGCCCAAAGAGGCCCCCCCCGAGGCACCCAAGACGCCGAAAAGCCCCTCAGGACGACCCTCTACTCGCCTGGGCGTCGTTTCTGGGCGGGCTGGTGGGGATACGCGAAGCGTCTAGATTGCAGCGGTACTCGCAACGGTCGTCAAATTATACTAGAAATTGAAATACAATAGCAATGGCACGAGAAGATTCAATTGATAATGGTAGGGGTCACAATCATGGCAGTACTGGCAGTGTTAGCCGTAGTGGCAGCAACATTTGGAGTGGTAGTAATGGTAATAATACTAGTCGTAGTAGCAATTAATATTAATAGTAGTAGTAGTCGTCGTCGTGGTAATAATCGTAGTAGTAGTCGTCGTCGTCGTAGTCGTAGTAGTTTTAGTAGTAGTAGTAGTAGTAGTAGTAGTAGTAGTAGTAGTAGTAGTAGTAGTAGTAGTAGTAGTAGTAGTAGTAGTAGTAGTAGTAGTAGTAGTAGTAAGTAGTAGTAGTAGTAGTAGTAGTAGTAGTAGTAGTAGTAGTAGTAGTAGTAGTAGTAGTAGTAGTAGTAGTAGTAGTAGTAGTAGTAGTAGTAGTAGTAGTAGTAGTAGTAGTAGTAGTAGTAGTAGTAGTAGTAGTAGTAGTATAGTAGTAGTAGTAGTAGTAGTAGTAGTAGTAAAAGTGGCAGTAGTAGTAGTAGTACCGGTACTACTACTGGTAGTAGTACTAGTAGTAATAGTAGTAGTAGTAGTAGTAGTCGTAGTCGTAGTCGTAGTCGTAGTAGTAGGAGTAGTAGTAGTAGTAGTAGTAGAAAAAGTAGTAGTAGTAGTAGTAGTAGTAGTAGTAGTAGTAGTAGTAGCACACTCCTAATAGTAATGGTGATGGTAGGAGTAGTAGTAGTAGTAGTAGTAGTAGTAGTAGTAGTCGTAGTAGTAGTAGTAGTAGTAGTAGTAGTAACAGTAGTAGTTGTCGTAGTAGTACCAGTGGTAGTAGTCGTAGTCGTAGTACTAGTCATAGTCGTAGTACTAGTAGGAGTATTACTAGTAGTAGTAATAGTAGTAGTAGTAGTAGTAGTAGTAAAAGTAGAAGTAGCAGTAGTAGCAGTAGTAGTAGTAGTAATAGTAGTAGTAGTAGTAGTAGTAGTGGTGGTAGTAGTAGTAGTAATGGTAGTAGTAGCAATAGAAATATTAGTGGTAGTCGTGGTCCGAGTGGTAGTGGTAGTAGTAGTAGTAGTAGTAGTAGTAGTAGTAGTAGTAGTAATAGTGGTGGTAGTAGTAGTAGTAATAATATTAGTAGTAGTGGTGGTAAAAGTAGTAGTAGTGGTCGTATGAGGAGCAGTAGTAGCAGTAGTAGCAATAGTATGACTAATAGTGGTAGGAGTAGTAGTAGAAGGAGTAGTAGTAGTAGCAGTAGTAGAAGAAGAAGTTATCATGATCGTCGTCGACGAAAGAACACTCGTAGCAGCATTCCTGCCAGCTGTAGTGTAATAGTGATAAAACCAGCAGTCGTATTATGGGTCTTCGTAGTAGCAGTAGTAGCAATAATATAGAGACTAGCCGAGGCAGTAAACATAGCAATACGAATCGTAGAAGTAACAAGAATAGGAAAGTATAAGCAAACAGTTTAGTAGCAGTGCAGAAGTAGCCGTAGCCATAATAGTAGTAGTAGTAGTAGTAGTAGTAGTAGTAGTAGTAGTAGTCGCCGTTGCAGCGATAGTAGTAGTACTAGTAGGAGACGTCGTAGCCGCAATAGTAGTATTGGTACTACTAGTGGTAGCGGTAAGAATCGGAATCGCAGCACCAAGCAACAGTCGTAGTATTGGTAATGGTGGCGAAAGTGGTAGTGGTCGTGGCCGTGGTCGCGGTAGTGGCAGTGTTAGTGGTAGTAGTAGTTGTCGTCGTCGTAGTAATAAGAAATAATACTTGTTGGAGGTGCGCTGGGGACCCGCGTGGCGATTTTGCGAGAATGTCCTGGGGGTGCGCTGGGGGCCCGTGGGGCGATTTTGCAAGGATTCTCGAGCGAGGGCGCCGGGTTGGGACACGCCCGGCACGCCAGGTGCGCCCGGTGCAGCGCCGGAAATGGTCCCTGAGGGTGCGCTGGGGGCCCGTGGGGCGATTTTGCGAGAATGTCTCGAGCGAGGGCGCCGGGTTGGGACACGCCCTGCGCGCCCGGTGCGCCCGGCGCAGCGCCGGAAATGGTCCCTGGAGGTGCGTTCGGAAGCGACTCTCCCGCGCGCCGGGGGTAAAGATGACGTGAGTTCCACAGAAACTGCCTCAAAATACAGTCAACCCGTATGATAAGGATGCGCGATAAGGATGCAAGGGCCTTGGACGCCCATTTCGAAGCTTTTCGAGCGGGACGGAGCCGACGAAAGTGGCGAAGGATGGACCGAGGCGGCAAGGATTCAAGGGTACCCTTGGGACGCTTACCCATCCTTACTATGCGGGTTGACTGTAACAAAGGACAGCCATGATAAGATGATTCAATGTACGAGTCGTACTTTCCCAGGTGGTGATAAAGTTCGGTCTCGCCGCTCCGCCCACCTAGCAAATCTAAGAAGCCCATGGATAATCATGACTCAGGGGTTCGGGGGGGGAAAGCTGTATTATCGCTGGAATGTGGTTATATTTATACATAAAAATAGAGACAGCGAGAAAGAGGGAGATAGAGAGAGAGAGAGAGAGACATCATGAAGAGAGAGAGAGGGAGATTGCGAAACCAGCAGCTGTGACAATCTCGACAAACCGACAGCCGCACCCATCCCCCGCAAACCTCCTCTTCTCATCCGAAGGATGGTCTATGAGGCATGCCTGAAAAACTATCAATGGATCCTGCTCTCGCCTCATCTTCCTCGTCCGTAGCCTTGCCGTTTACAAATCCTCGCAATGCGCATGTCGTAATGCAATGTTGCAAACCGAAGTGTAAACTTCTGAACAAACCAGATCAATCAACGCTACCACGTTGGCACGCGATGCTTTGCTGCCGTGCAGCGATGGTGCTGACAGCGGCTGTTGCCTCAAGCGAAGTTGTGGATATGCGAACTGCGCCCGGAAACAACAATCGTCTACGGCGGAACACATGTGAAGTGTTTCTGTCCAGCGTGTCCAATGACATCGGGCAGACTGTTGTTAAGCACTCGCTGAACTGAATCACCCTCCTCTTTCTTCATATCGTCGCTCTCGAACCCACTACATGCTAGTCCTTCTCTTTTCCTTCAAAGAGAGCGCGCGTTTACAGCTTAGCTCGCTAAGTCTCTGTAATTACCGAACTGGCAACTAGGATGTAACCACCTGCTTGCTGGATAATTTTCTGGAAGCTCAATTCATGTGGTGCAAGGGGGCGAGCTGTGTTAGCCTGCAAGCAGCACCATCCCCCACATAAGTGTTGGGCTCCGTGCAAATGGGAGAAAATAGAAATTGGGAATTACATGAGAGTGGAAGTTGCCGGGCTCAAAACATGCGGGATGAAGTCAGTTCACTAGGGCTGGAAACACCATGGGGGGAACTGGCCAAGGCTCGCAAGCGTGGAAGGGCTGGCCCTGGCCACGTTTTCCAGCTTCCCTGTGGAGTTCGGAGTGCCAGGCTAGCAGCCTCGAAACCCTCACAGCTGAAAATACCCCGGTCCACTCCACGGCCTCATGCCGAAGACGGTGCGTCGCGGCGCGGCTGACCGGGCACACGATCCGCGATCCACCAAAACTACACTTGCGATTCGGGGGACCCTGAATCCACACAACATGTCATGTCTTGAAAAGCGGACTTCTTCCTCCGCCGGCTCCCACTCGCGGAGCCTCCCTCGTGCCGCTTCCGCAAACTTCAGTCGCCCTTCCGCGGCGAGTCGCCGAGAAAGATATTTGTCAAAGTCCCGATCCCTCGAAGGCGAGGCCATTGCGGGAGCCTGTCGTAGCAACGAGCGTGGTTTTGCCGACGCGCGATGTACGACGCATGCTGCATGTAGCTCAGGTCCTTCTGCGGCATCTCTTCAATTACGCCACACCTCTGAGGGCGGTGCCAGTGGGCTAGACACAGTATTTCGTCATGAACGGGCTGGGTCAGGTCCAGGTCTGATACCTCCCATTGTCAGACCATCTCTGGTCATGGCACCAAGAGCATCACAAAGACAACAAACACGCGGGCTTCTCTCTCTCTCTCTCACCCTCTTTCACCCTCACACGCACTCACTTGCCAACTCCTGGCAAGTCGGGGCTCGGCCACATTAAGTTCACACGCGCACAACACAACACACCACAATTGCGCACACAGCATCCTGCTCTCCCTGAGGGAGGGGAGAGGCCATGAAGGAGGGCGCTGACAGCGTCAAGAATAGTCAGGCAAAAACGCCAACCCCATGCAGCTGCGAGTGACGGATTGATTTGACCCTCTCACCATAGGTAGCGAGCCGCGAGACGGATGGAAATCCCAGGGCAGTGCGGAGGGGGGCCACGAAGCTTTGAAGGGGAGTACCAACACGTGGCGGAGACGCCACGATGTCGCGCCCATTGAGACCGTAGGCGAAGCTCCCTGTGGAGCCCCTAAACGCGTGAGAAGCGTGCTGAAATGGGCGAGACGGCGCCGTCTGATCCGTCTGCCTGGGACTTTCGGTGGAGCTCCCAGGGGGGGGGGGGGGGCGATACGAGTGATCGCCACCATTGGGACCCTCGGTGGAATCCCCCATGGGGCCACCAGGGGTGTGATTGGTGTGCTGACATGGGCGGGGAGGCGCCATGTGATCTGGCCCACTGGGACACTCGGTGGAGCTCCCCATGGGGCCATGACGTGCGCGAGCATTGTGCCGGAATGGGCGTGGCAAAGCCATGCGATCTGTCCAACGGGTACCCTCGGTCGAGCTCACTATGGAGCAACGAAACTAAGCAGAGGCCTGAAGGATCCTCGGTGAAGCTCCCCATGGGGCCAAGACTAGGCGTGCCGAAAAAGGGCGGGGTGGCGCCATGTGACCTGTACGATTGGGACACTCGGTGGATCTCCCAACGGGACCAGAAACGTGTGAGAGGTGTGCCAAATAGGCGTGGCGGCGCCATGCGATCTGTCCCACTGGGACCCTTCAACATGGGGCCACGAAAAGTGTCAGGGGTCTGTCCCACTGGGACCCTCGGTGCAGCTCCCCGTCGGGCCACGGAGTGTGCGAGCAACGAAGAAGAGAACAAGACGCGAACGCGAAGAAACGAGGACGGAGGAGGGGGACGAGGAAGGAGCGAGTCACAGTGAGGTGCGCGGCGGCCGGGAACCAGCGGCAGGGCGCAGCCTGGGAGTGGGGGAGCCCACGGGGAGAGCGAACGGACACCCCGCACGACCCGAGCTCGCCCACACCTCTCCTGACGCTCGGCTCGCGCCATCCTCCGAACTGCACCGTGCACTGCCGTCCTCCTCCTCCTCCTCCTCCTCCTCCTCCTCCTCCCCCTCCTCCTCCTCCTCCTCCTCCCCCTCCTCCCCCTCCTCCTCCTCCTCCTCCTCCTCCTCCTCCTCCTCCTCCTCCTCCTCCTCCTCCCCCTCCTCCTCCTGCACAGCCACTCTGCTCGAGGCACGCCGCCCGACGTGCACACCACGCCCAGCAGCGCTCGGCTCACACCACCGGGCAAAACCCGGCAGCAGGCGCCGCCCAGTCTGTGCTGGGAGGCCCCCCCTGCGCTGCGCGCCATCATGCTGGACAGGTACTGGTAGATCACGAGCCCCGCGGTGATGGAGCTGCAGGACATCGCAAACACCCTGCCCGGCGGGGCACGGAGGCGGCAAGCAGAGCAGCAGGCAGCCCGTGTGCAGCAAGGCCCGCGCGGCTATCTCTCGCGCGGGCCTTGCTGCTGCACACGGGCTTCCGGCGGCCGCGATCGTCCCGCGCACCCCTGGCACGCCCCTTCGCCAGGCGCAACGGAACACCCTCGGCCAGGCGCAGCTGCTGAAACGCGCCCCGAGGCTGGAAAGCCGGCGAGGAGCGACGAAAACGTATCAAAATCTGGAACTTGGAACCCGAAGCTCCGACGACGGAGCCGGCCACTGGCCTTCGCTCGGGTCGGGGCGCCCTCGGCAAGGCGCAGCTGCCGGAACGCATCCCGAGGTCGGTGCTTCAAAGACGGGGTCCTGAGGGATGGGGCCCTGAGGATACGAAGGGGCCCAAGGGTGGATCTACACTGCTTGAGGCACCTCGTCCTCAGGACCCGAACCCTCAGGACCCCATCTTTGAGAGAGCGCGTTTCACAGGCGTCTGGTGAGGAGGGAGGGGCATCCTAAAAATTCCCCTCCCCCTCCCAGGAACCCCCAGGGGGGGGGCTTACAAAAAAAGGGGAGGGGGGCCGGGGTGGGGTGGGGGGGGGGGGGGCAAAAAGGGGGGGGGGCCCTCTCCCCCCCCCAGGGGGGCCCCCCGCATGTCGGACCAATCCCGACCGACCAGTACCAATGTCAACCGACCGGGCCACTTCTCAACCAACCAACAAAAAAACTGGTAGCAGTTGCAACCAGCCCTCTTGAGCCGACAATCAAGAGTACATATACTTAGTGGGAGTAACATGGGGGCTCCCCGTTGGAACTGGTACTAGTTTACTGTCTGGTGTCTGGGAGCTGTACTGTTGTTGTCTTGCATCAAGAACTCAAAACAGCACATACAACCTCAATACATATACATTTACATATACATATACATATATATACACATACATACATACTAGAACCATCGCGCGCGCTCAGGTTCTAGCAGGCCCCAGGCCTTGACGAATTCACTGCTCCACTGAAGTAGTGGACCACGGTACACGCATGCAAACCTGCATTCCGAAAGGCCTTCGAGGAAAATGGTTGTGTAGGGGGGCGAAGGCCGTATGAATCGGGTTCCCGGAAGGCCTTCTGGGAGCATGGGTTTGGGGGCGTCTTGGGGAGCCTGTTGGGGCGTGCCGTCGTCGTCGTCGTTGTCGTCGTCGTCGTCGTCGTCGTAATGTCGTCGTCGCCTATTGGGGCGCGCCGTCGTCGTAGTCGTCGTCGTCGTCGTCGTCGTCGTCGTCGTCGTCGTCGTCGTCGTCGTCGTCGTCTTCGTCGTTTCGTCGTCGTCGTCGGTTCAAGAGGGCACTTGGGGCAACTTTGTGCGAAGCGATCTGCGGAAGGCCGCGAGAAGGCGATCAGTCATTTTCCCAATCAACTTCCCAGACACTCTCTTGTAGCATGATGGTACTTCGAAGCCTCCGGAGACTCGCGGGCCCATGATGAACCATGTCCCCGGAAGGCTTTCTGGAGACATGGTTTGTTGGGGTGTGTTGTGGGGTCTCTTGGGCGTTCCCTGGGGGCCCCTTGGAGGCCTCCAGAAACTCTCAGGCCCGTGATGAGCCATGTCCCTGGAAGGTTTTCTGGGGACATGATTTCTCGGGGTGTGTTGGGGGGCCTTTTGGGCGTTCCCTGGGAGCCCCTTGGGAGTCTCTTGGGGCTTTCTGGGAGCCTCTTGGGCGCCTCACGGGGCTTCGTGGGAGCCTTTTGGTGGCCTCTGGGGGCCTACAGGCGGCCTCTAGGGCCAGAGACCTCGAATTATCGGTTGGCGGTCCCCCTCTGGGCCCTCTCTTGGGGAGCTCTTGGGGCACAATTGGGTTGTCTGGGGAGCCTCCTGGGCCGTTTTGGGGCCCTCTTCGGGGCCTCGTGGCCCGTCTTGGAGCGATCTGAAGTGCCTCCGAACAAGGCCGTGAGGGAGCGCTGGGAAGAGGGAAAAACGAGAACGCCTAAATCCTTCAAGGGTCCAAGAAGTCGCGCGCCTCTTGCACCCAATCCTCGAGCGGGGACGGACGCCACCGGCGCATCAGGGTCCTGGCGCCAGCGATGGTGGCGCCCAGACGAGCAGCCATTCCTTCGCCGGGGCACGGCTGCGACAAAATCTGCTCAACAAGCTGCTGCGCATCCTGTGCAAAAGCTTCACCCTTGGCAGGAAGCGTTGACTGGTCAGAAACCGCGTCGCGAAGACCCGAAACCGCTCCGACAGTGTCCGAAACATGTTGGGCCAACCAGGCCCATCCCTGGCGGATCAGCTCGGTGCAAGCACTTTTGGGGGTAGCAAAGATTGGGACCCACGTGGCCTTAGGCACCAAACCTTTCAACCTTTCTAATGCTTCGCGGTGACGCCCAAGAATGACCCCACCTCCAGTTCCAGACGATTGGAGAAGGTACGCCACGCTTTGCTAAGAAGCTCCCAAGCGACACCAACTGGTTCATCGATCGCGGCCTGGGCCGCGCATTCGGCTGTGTCTCGAGCAAGAGTCCAGTCCTGAGGTCTGGAGGTAGGGCCATCGAGGAATTCAACAGGAAGACGCTGATGGCTACCGTGCACGAGCTGATACAATCGGACCGTTTGCTCCTTCAACCTAAGCAGCGCAGGGTGGTGAGGGTGCAAATCGCCACTGGTGCTCTCAACCGCTCGAGAGATCGAGGTACTGCACATAAAGAAACCCATCGTGGATACCGCTTGGGCGCTGACACAAGTCCTGGACGGGGGCGCGAAAAGAAGGAAATCCAACCTTCGAACGAGACCCGTCGTTTCCACTGGGGCGGGGGGAGAGGTTCCAATCACCCCCACAAATAAACAGTTGTAAATAAACAGTTGATTATGATCCAGGGCTTGACCGATGGCTTTCAGACAGGACGCGCGCCGATCGCACAGGCCCTTTCCTGACTTGATGCACGCGCGCACGACCGTGAGCACGGGCCATTCAGGAATAACGATGAACGCTTTGATCACTCGGGGGGGGGGGGGGGGGCAGGCCCTCACACACGACGGAGAAGCGAACATCTCCCACCCGAGTTTGGCAACCGCCTCACATTTCTCCCCCAGGAGGCCCTCGGAGAAGCCCACCTCCTGAGCAAGGAAGATGAGCGTCGACGAAACGGCCAGCCTGTCTCTCAGGGTACCTCACGAGTTGCCGTTGTAGGTTTCAACCACTTCTCCATTGCCGAACAATCCCACGCGGTCGGGGCCGAGGGGGGGGGGGCGGAGCGGGGGGAGGCTGAACAGCGCCGTAGCGAGACATGCGCAACCCACAGATCTGGACAGCAAAGGTGGGTTACCCCTGCCGCTGACGCATGGCAAGCAAAACCGCAAGCTGCTCACTCCAGGCCCTTTGTCGGCCCTCTGCGCCGCGAAGAAGATCTGCTCCATCTCCTCCTCGCTGAGAGCGATCGGGTCGCGCATGATCTGATCGTCAGCGCCTTCGCCTCCACCGACGGCCCGACGTCGAACGCCTGCGCCGCCAGCCCCGTGCGGTTGGAGGCCAGCAGCCACCTCCTTGCCCTCGCCCTTGCCGAAGGCCATGGCGCCAACGGGGTTGACGAAGGGCTGGCCGTTACCATCAGGAGAAAAACGGGCTGGCCACAGGAACTGCCTTCTGAGCTTTCCTGGCCAGCGCCGCCTGGCACACATTGAACTCATCGGAGCAGGACAGGGCAAAGAGCTCGGCTTGTTCTTCAGCACCTTCTGCTGAATCGTCTGCCGTGTCCAACTGAAGAGGGGGCGCTGCCACCGTGGGCGAAAATGTGTCGACCAGCTCCTTGCGAAGCTGCTCCACCTCCTTCTGAGCCACGACCTGCATGTCCTCAATGCCGTCGGGCATTTCTTGTGCACACCGTAAGATATCCTGCTGTTCAGCCGCCTGCAACGCCAACTTCTCACACTTGAGCTCGGCGCGCTGCAGGCGGTGCCCCACGCTCGTGTGCACAGTTGGCTCAGGCGTGGGGCTGTGAAGTTGTTTCGCGCCTCTTGCAAACAAGAATCCAGAGCATTCCGCGCCTCATCACTGCCTGGGACCTTGTCCAGTGCGAGACGTGCTTGCTCCTGGTGTTGAATCGTTCCCCGTAAAACTTGACCCTGAACTGCTTTTTCACCTTTGCCGCGAGTGACTTCACTGCGTGAATCACCTCGGCCGTGAGTGCCACCGTTGGGAGCACCGTCGTTGCCACTGTTGCCTGCCAGCTTGTCGCACTTGATACGAAGCTCTCGCATCTGCCTCGTGAGAAATGTCACTGCCACATTGCCTCCACCACGCTGCCCGCCTTTACCACCACCAGGCTGGCGCTGACCACCATGAGGACCGCGAAGAGCATGCTGGGTTTTTTGTCCCCGAGCGGCTTTGGCGACTATAGCTGGCGCTGGCTCACCGCATCTGCACGCCAGCCGCGAAGCCCAATGTGCGTTGAACCCACAGCTGCTGCAATACTGCAAGACCAAAAAGGCGCCATGGGTCCAAGCAGGGCAACGGCACCTCCATCAGACATGGACGAAGGGGCCCCCGTGCTGGGAGCGGGAGATAATCGATAACTTTCCGATCCACAAAGACCCGCAGGAGCGACTGCCCGTTCTGAAGACTGCTCCTGCAAGCCCAAAACCTGGGCCGGAACGGCTCAGAGGTAGGGGAGGATGGGAAGGATGAGGAGGAGGAGGAGGAGGAGGAGGAGGGGGAGGAGGAGGAGGAGGGGGAGGAGGAGGAGGAGGAGGAGGAGGAGGAGGAGGAGGAGGAGGAGGAGGAGGAGGAGCAGGAGGAGTTTTCATCAGGCGCGGCAGCTAACGTGCGGGCACGGCTAGGCGACTCGGGCGCGAACCCGAAAGAGAGAAAGGGTGCCAGAGCACCTCCCGATGGGAGTGCCAGCGGGCGCGGCCAGGGGCCTACTCGCCGTCGGGGCCATCGTCCACGACGACACGGTGCCCGACCAGGGCGTCGAGGACGAAGTCCCCGAACGGCTTGGCCGAACCTGGCCTCTCGCCGAGGGCATCAGCGGCAGGCCAGCGCGCGGGTGCTGCCCAGCCCACAGGCGCCCCAGATGGGGGCGCGTCTGTGGGGGAACGGCGCGAGGAGCGCCCGCGGGCTCCGAGGGCGCCGCGCCCGGAGGAGGAGGAGGAGAAGGAGGAGGAGGAAGGAGGAGGAGGAGGAGGAGGAGGAGGAGGAGGAGAAGGAGGGGGCCGGCGCACGAGGGCCGCAGGCGGCTGCGCGAGGATCTGCGCGTTCGCACTCGCGCGCGCCCCGCGCCTCGCACAGAAAAGGAGGGGCACGCGCTCCACGCACGGCGGCCCCCTCCTGGGGCCGCACACCGCGGGGAGGATGGCGCCGCGCGCCCTCGCGACGCTGAAGCAGCGCGTGCGTCGGCAACCCTTGATCGACAAGTTGGATCGGCGATCGACACGAATCGGATCGGCGGAAATCGGCAGCCGAGTCGGGAGAAGTCGAATCGGCGGACATCGGCAGGCTAGTAGGCCTCCAGTGAGGAATCGGAGCCCAAATCGGAGTCCCAGGTCGAATCGAATCGGAATCGGAGGCCATCGAGGTCGAATCGAATCGAACCGGAGGAATCGAAACGAGCCCTGCGAAACCGGGCGAAGACGCCCGGGCGAAACAGATTGCAGCGCCTGGACGCCAGGGGAGGAGGAACGGCGAGGATCGGCGGCGGGCGAAGGGAGGAAGTGCGGAGGACAAGGCCTTCTCAGAGAGGGCGGCGGCGCTTCTGGGAAGCCCTCTGCGCTGCGCCGAGAGTTTTTTCTGTTCTGCGTCTTTGCGGGGAAGCTCAGGGTCGACGGCGGGCGAAAAGAGGAGGTGAGGAGGAATTTGTGATTTGATTTGCTCGCGGGTGATCGCCTGCCAATCACTCCTGCCCGAAGTCGACGACAACGAGCGAAGGGCCCGAAAGGGGGAAGGAGGGCGGACCCAGGAACCCAGACAAAGGACGAGCGAAGGGACCCGACCGAAGAAACAAGGGACACGAAACCTCGAGGGCCTCGAGCAGCGCGCCATTCAAGACCGTCCAGGGACGGAGGCGTCAACACAGGACGATTAAACAACGTTTACAGTTGAACACTTCAAACCTCCAACTGCTCACCTCCCCCCGCCACTGCATGCCTCCCCCACCCAATCGCTGAGAACAGACAGGTGTGAGGGAAAGACGGGAGGAGGGCTCAAGAAAACAACGTGCGAGAGAAGGGGAAAACTCCCATTCACGAATTTATCACTGCGCTTTCTTCAGCTTGTCGTGGCACGCGAGCAGGATCAATAGTCCTGGCCACATTCTCAAGGAGACGAGCATGATCAAGTAACTCCATCCAATCCAGCCTCCCCAGTGAAACACCTGATGGTACTTCGCAAGAAAGCTGTGCAAGTCAAGCGGCTGCGAGGCTAGCAACACATAGAATGCCAGAACAGAGATCGATAGCAAGCGTAGCAGCCATCCAACCTCATCCTCCCATCATCCTCATCATCGTCCCACCCCCACCCAGCCAGACAAAAGCAGACGGAGGGGGGGGGAAGAGGAAGCTCTCAGGAGTCCCAGTAGGCACTCTGCCTACAATATCGGCACGTCATTGCCCGCTTCGTGCTGGATGAGCTCCGTAACAGAGCGCACGCACGACAGCGAGGAGCTCGATAAGGAACACCAGGAGATTCGACAGCAGGAGGAAAAAACATCATCTGGAGTAGTGGCCGCGCAGAGGCACGGCTTGTAGATCACCGCCTTGCGCAGGGAGCCAGCGGCGGACGCGCTGAACGTGGACATCGCATTGGCGGTGCCGTCGCCATCCGGAAAGGCATCGCCAGGCGCATCACGATCTGGCTCCGAAGGATATTCGGCATGAAGCGAGACATCGCCGAGTCGACCAGCACGACGCAATTCGGCAGAGAGGTCGCCGCGAACATCCACGAGTCGCTCAGCAGAGGCATGACGAACTGGAGGCAAGCCGTCGTCAAGTCGACCAGCGCGAACAGCTTCACGCGATTCGTGAGGAAAGTCACCGGGGACATCCACGACACGCTCAGCATCATCAGGAACTGGAGGCGAGTCGTCATCACGTGGACCAGCACGAACTGCTTCACGCGGTTCGGGAAGGCCACAATGAACGTCCACGAGTCGCTCGGCGGAAACAGCACCATCAGCGCCATGTGGAACATTCAGATCGCGAATAGCACCTGCAGGAAGTTGAAGCCGATGCTGGGGATCAAAACCATCGCGAGGCTGGTTCTCCTCCTGCAGGTTCGGCGAGACGACGCCACCAGACTGGCCCAGCGTATTGGCGAGCTCCGTCAAAAGGAACTCTGATTTGACACGGTTGATGTGCCGAACGAGGGCGAAGCTGGTGTCGACGTGCTCGAGCCTCCGCCGCAACGACCGCTGGGACTTGTCTTTGAAGAGCGTGCGTGCGGCCACACCAAGGCCAGCGAAGTCGCGACCCGTGGTGTCGCAGATCATGCGCAGAGCCTGGCCATGGAGGCGAACAATGAGTTCCTCGGCCATGGAACAACCGAAGATCAAACAAATCGAACCTAATACAAGGCGCGCCGCAGCTTGAGCCAAAATGGCTACGGAAGGTGAGGAGGAACAAGCCTGAGAGGAGGTGAGGAGGTCAGAAGGCGGCGGGGCTTCTCGGAGGCCCTCCGCCGAAAGGTTGTTTGTTTTGCTGCGTCCTCCTCCTCATCCTCCTCCTCATCCTCATCCTCGGGTGCCCTCTGCGCGTCCGAGAGGTTTCTTGTTTTGTCATGTGTCCTCGGGGGAAGCTCTGAGAACTTCTCAGAGGGCGGCGGAGCTGCTCAGAAGCCCCCCGCACTTGCGGAAGGTCTTCTCTCCGCGTCTTCGGGGGAAACTCAGAGAACTTCTCAGGAGGCCGGAGGGCTTCCGAGCAAGGCCCACGACCCCCTTCTCCCTTGGCCCCCCGGGGGGCTGGCCGCCGAGGTCCAAGGAGGAGGAGGGAGAGGAGGAGAACGGGGAGGAGGAGGAGGAGGGGGAGGAGGAGGAGGAGGAGGAGGAGGAGGAGGAGGAGGAGGAGGAGGAGGAGGAGGAGGAGGTGGAGGAGGAGGAGGAGGAGATTCCCGCGAGACTCCCCTCTGCCGCAGGCAGGAGGAGGAGGAGGTGGAGGAGGAGGAATTGGACAGGGAGGAGGGGGCTGAGGAGGAGGACGGGGCTGAGGAGAAGCAGGAGGAGGAGGAGGCCCCGCCTGATCCGCGAGGGCCATTGCGGCCTGAGCCCCACCCGCCGGGCCCACATCCTGCCCCCGCCCCTGGCCGCCTATGGGGCAGGGGCTGTGGGCCGCGTGGTCCTCGAGCAGCTCAGGCGAGGTGGGGCGGCACCGAAGACACCGAGGATGACGACGACGATCGACGACGACGACGAAGTGCTCAGGCGAGGTGCGCTGCACATATACACACGCAGTAGCAAGCTTGTGCATGTACCTTTCCTCTCACATGTTGTATCTTTGAACGGGCTCCGAGCGCGCTTGCACTCATTAAGACGAGGACTGAAGTGAAGAAACATGAGGTTGATGCTTATTTTGCGATGGTGGTGGTGGGGGTGATGATGGTGATGATGACGATGACGATGACGATGACGATGACGATGACGATGACGATGATGACGATGATGACGATGATGACGATGATGGCAATGCTGATACTGATGCTGATGCTGCTGCTGCTGCTGCTGATGATGATGATGATTAGTATGTAGTTTCTTCTTCTTATTCGTATGCTTCTTCATGTCCTTCTTCTTCTAATGATTGTGCTGCTTCTCTGGGGGCAGGGAGGAGGCCCCGCTTGTGCAGCCGTCGGGCCTGGTCAGCCATCTCTCCTCCTCGTGCTTACCGCGGGGAGACGTGGTACCAGATACCTGGGGGCTCGAGCTTGCCCGACGTGGTCGCCAGAAAAAGGACGAGACATGGTCTGAATTTTGGCGCCAACTCCCGTTGCAAACATCTCACGAAAACCGTGGGGCCGTCAGTAAGGACGCGGGAAGCTCAGTTCCTGCAAACTCGGGTCTTATCCAAAAATCTGGTGTCTTGAGTTTTCCACGCGGGGCCCCCAGAAGTCTCGACCCACTCCCGCGGACCGGCGTTTCATCCTGAATAGTTCCCCACATCCAAAGTGGGGTTCTTGTTTTCTCTGCACACCCCGCGCAGGAACACTCACCCCACCCCCTCTCCTCTTCTGCCTTCGCACACTCACTCACTCACTCATCATCATCACCACTCACTCACACTCACACCCACTCACACTCTCTCATCATCAACATCAGCATCATCACTCGCGCTCTCACACACGCTCAGCCACTCACATACTCATCGTCATCATCATCATCATCACTCGCACTCTGTCACACGATCACTCATTCACATACTCACCTGGAGGAAGTCTCAGGCGGGAGTTCGTCTGTGAGTGAATTGTGAAGAAGTCTCAGGTGGGAGCCCCCTCCCTATGGGGCCCGCAGATCACGTTGGTAATCCGAGCGGGTCATCCAAACCTTGTAACTGTCGTCACTTTTGGGCTCCTCAAGCTTGAGTACGGAGGAAATCTCAGGCGGGAGCCTCGTCTGTGAGTAAATTGCGAGGAAGTCACAGGCGGGAACACCTCCCTATGGGGCCCGCGCTTCATGTTGGTAATCCGAGCGGGTAATCCAAACCCTGTAACTGTCGTCACTTTGGGGCTCTTCAGGCTTGAAATTGGAAGAAGTCTCAGGCGGGAGCCTCGTCTGTGAGTGAATTGTGGGGAAGTCTCAGGCGGGAGCCCCCTCCCTATGGGGCCTGCAGATCACGTTGGTAATCCGAGCGGGTCACCCAAACCCTGTAACTGTCGCCCTTTTGGGCTCTCGCGCTGCCAGAACGCCATTCCCGGGCCACATTGTGCATGCCCGGAGCCAATTGTAGGCCACTTCGTGTTTTTCGTGTTCCCAGAACACCACTCCCGGGCCACATTTTGAAACCCCGGAGCCAACTGTAGGCCACTTCGTGTTCTTCCTGTTCCCAGAACACCACTCCCGGGCCACATTCTGGATGTCCGAAGCCAACTGTAAGCCACTTTGTGTTCGTCGTGTTCCCAGAGCGTCATTCCCGGGCCACATTTGTGAATTTCGAATCCGAAGAGGGTCCTCGGAATTCGTATGCCTGTCGTCACTTTTGGGTCCCCGCGGCCTGAATATGGCTGTCATGGGCCTGCTTGCTCCAAAGGGCGACTGAAGAGCTGACGACGACGACGACGAGACAGCGGCCGGGCGCAGGGGTAACCTCTTGTGTCCGGGCCGCAGCGGCCATGTCGGCATGGAGGCGCGGTTCACGGCAGCGCAGGAAGAGCTGAGGAAGAAGTTGGGGCTCGTGCTGGAGCAACGGGCCACCATCGTGTCTTTCGAGTTCCACCACGAGGACGAGCAGCGGCACGAGGAGTGCTCGGCAGGCCAGCTCTTTCGCCCCCGCTTCCTACCGCAGGGAATCTGGCTGCAGGTGCACGGCTTCAAGGAGTCTACCAGGAGGTCGCCGAGGTGCTGCGACAGGGCGCCGAAGACGCCGACGACGACGGCCAGGCCGAGGCGCGGGCGCGGAGTTTGCTGATGTTCAGGCCCAGCGAAAAGGAGTTCACATGGCAGAGCTCGGGGCCGCACAACGTGCGCCGCTCGGGGTTCACCCTGACCCACGCGTCCTACCTGACCTCCACGCTGTCGCAGGGCCAGACGCTGCGCAAGGGCGTCACCATCGACTGCGCGAGAGACGAGGACGCTGGCCGCACGGGCATGTATGACGAGCAGTGGTGGCTGCACCTCTACGTCATGCTCTCCCGCGCCACGTGCATGCGGAACATGCTGATCCTGCGGCCGCCGCCGCGGGAGTTCCTGGAGCGAGGGCCGCCAGCGTCCTTGCGGAAGGCGCTCCTGGAGTTCGACAAGAGAGCGGTTTTGTCCAGGGCGGAGGCGAAGCAGCTCGCGGCAGAGCTGGGCTTCGTGCTGCCCGCCTGAGCGCGGCTGCGCCCCGCTCGAAGCCCGCGGGGTTGTCCCAACGGCTTGGTCTTGCGCGCAAGCGGCTCGCGGGGTTGTCCCGACAGCCTGGCCCGCGGGGTTGTCCCAACGGCTGCGCGACGTGGCCATTAGAGAACGCGCCTGTGCTGGCCGAGGCGGCGACGGCGCCGAGGAAAACCGACATGCGCGCTCGTGCAATGGAAAGGCGAGGCGGTGGCGGGGCGCGAAAAAAACAGGAGGGCGAGGTCGGGGGCAACGTAGGGAGCGGGGGCAGGGCCCGCGCCAGGGCGAGAAGAAATATACGCAGAAGAGACAATCAGGACGCCTCACCAACCACGAGGACGACGGTGAGCGCTTTTTCCAGATTCGCCCAGAGGATTCTCATGTGGGGTCCTTCCGTCGGAGTAAGTTTTGGACAGCCCCGGGCCCGGCGAGGGCCGCTAGAGGCCGAATACGGCGAAATACATCCGTCTTATGTTTGTTCAATGCGTTGGGTCTCTCGGCACCCTTTCCCGATCACCATCCCTCTTCCGTTGTGCGTGTTCTGCATTTCTGCATCCTGACCTCCTCATCGTCGTGTTTCCTGCCGTTGTCCTTCCGCTGCATCCTTCCTCCGTACCCTCTGCTCTACAGGACGGGTCGCGGGCACGAGTGTCTGAGGGGGCAGTGCCAAACGGAGCCAGCAAGCACCCCGCCCAAACGATGGCAGACCCTTTTCTAAACGGGGCTACCGCTTGACACTCCTTGGACTTTAAGATCGTATCTCTTTTGAAGGGCCCCCAGGACACACAAATAAATACACACAAATAAACATATTCCCTACATCTTCCCCTATTTTCTGGGTTTCTGTCTTCCCCCCCACTTCCTATATTTTCCCATATTTTCTGGGGGATCGAGGATTAATTGTGTCTGTGTGCTTCTTTTCCTCCTGATCTTTGCATCTCGTATGCGTGTGAGGACGGTGGGTGGAATCCGCTGCAACACGGGACCTCGCCTGCATGGCAGGCTCATGGGGCGCCCGTCTTCCCAATGGAAGACGCTTCCCGCAGCAGCGTCAAGGAATGGTAGGAACCAGTGAAGCATGGACTTGGGATGGGGGAGGAGTAGTGCACGATCACCATATGATCCTTGGCTTGCTCTGCTCCTCCTGCTACCTCCTACGTCCCCGCCGGACTTGGGCGCGTACCCTCCGAGATCCCCCCTGGGTCTCGGACGGCCCTTGCTCCTGTCGCTGCCCACCCTTGGGGCGCAGCCGTGCTCGGCTGCACGCAAAAGTGACCCTAGGCAAGAGTGGCATTTGGTGCGCGGACCAATGGAGCGCAAGGTTGCCAAATCCAACCGCGCAAGCATCGGCTATCGCGCCAGGCTCAGCGATCGCGGGGGCCCCGATGAGCCCGCACCATAGGTCACTCCAGCGAAACTTCATTATTCCATGTAGAACTGCGCGTGGCACCGCTTTCGGAGCTTCTGGGCCGTGGGCCAAAGCGCGCAAGTGGGGGGGACGAGAACCCCTTCCTTCCTCCACTGAAAAGCCAAACTCTATACACCGACTCGTTTTCCACTCCCGCACAAATGCTCACACAAAGAAGCGGGTCTTTGTGTATAGTGGATCCTGGTGTAAACATGTTTCGCTGTTACCCCGGAAAAACGGAGCCTAAACAAACACAGGGGAAAACCAACCAGTACCGATACCGCTACTCCCCGGACCTCTCCCAAGATGCTTCTGACAAGGATTTTGAAGCGAACCCAACGGTGGCGACGAAAACCTCCCAGGAGGCCGACAGGAGTGTTTTGTTGCACGCGGACGGAGTACACACGCTCTGTAGTGCACCCGCGCATTGTAATGTACACTGGTCCTGTGTTGCACACGGCCGATGTGATGCACGCAGGCGCTGTGGTGCCCGCGAGCACTGTGGCACGCACTGGCGCTCTGTTGCACGCGGCTGCTGTGGTGTACATAGGCGGTGTGGTGTACACAAGCGCTGTGGTGCACGCAAGCACTGTGGTGTGCATAAGCGCTGTGGTGCAGATCGCCACCCACATGCTGCTGCTACCCGTCCTCGGTCATCCCAAAGCATTTCCAGACGCCGCCGGCGCGAAACGTGACGTCATCGGCCCCCTCCCCCCCAAATGACGGCCGCCATCGGCCCAGCATATGTGTATATATATATATATATATATATGGGTGAGTGAGTTTTGAACGTTGATTTTCAGATAGGTTAGCGAAGGGGCCTAGGGGCGGGAAATGTCTTGTTGTTTCGGACGTGTTTCCAGGTCTTGCCTGCGCCCGAAACCGTTTCAAGTTCAAGGCACCATGACTCACTGAATCGAGT